TAATTTGCATAATTAATTAATTTTCAGCTTTTCCACAGCTATCTCAAGTACTAATCATCGCATTTCAATGAAACTTTGTATATAGATCCTTTAGGACTATGCAGAGACCTGATTAGTTTTAGGGTAAATAATTGTGCATATTAATTACCTAATTTGCATAATTAATTTTCAGTTTTTCTACTGATATCTAAAGTACTAATCATCACATTTCAATGAATCTAGAATTATGCAGACCCAATTAGTTTCCGGTAAATATTTGTGCATATTAATCACCTAATCACCTATCACCTAGCTTTCACTCTAATATCTAAAGTACTAATTATTCCATTTCAATGAAACTTAGTACAAAGATGCTCTAGGACAATGTACAAACCTAATTAGTTTGGGGTAAAAATCTGTTCATATTAATTCCCTAATAAGCATAATAATTCATAATTTTTTGGTTCTAATCACATTTCAATTAAACTTGGAAACATAGATTTTCTGTTACATTGCGCAGACCTCATTAGTTTTACACTCAAATCTGTTCATATTAATTTTCTGATTTGCATAATTAGTTTTCAGCTAAGTAATTTTGAATTATATTTAATGCGTCTCCAATACTCTCAGCACATGGGAGTTCTTTCTAAGCTTTCTTTGATTTATATGTAGGGTTTCATATCGACATTTGTTGATGTCATATCACCGGCAACATCCTAGTGCATCATGGTATACGTATATCAGTATGCACATGAATAATTATTATCGTACTGTATTTTTACGTTGCCCGTACCATCAAAGATGGAAGGGAAAAGTGTATAAAGGGATCAATTTCTGTCCGGCGTTGTCGGATATTTACATCTATCAAAGACATTCAGTATAAAACGGCTTTCCCACTGTTGTTTCAACTCCAAAACTTGTTTGTATTCAAAGTCAATTATTTTCACTGGATTGTATTTTCACTGAATCATTCTTCAGCAAAAAATAAATTACAGTATGATAAAAGGAATAATATTATATAACAAAGGGCAAGGTCACCAGAGTTCAACTATGTTAATATGACTGGTCTGTTTGTTTTCAGTGTGCTTACTGTGGCAAAGAAGCCATATTCTACTGCTGTTGGAATACCAGCTATTGTGATTATCCATGCCAACAGACTCACTGGAAAGAACATATGAATGTGTGCACACAAGCTACAAATTCAGGTACACCAACAGATCAAACAGATTATGATACGCAGGTGAGTTTTTGAATGGCATAGCAAGCAGTTTAGTATTAGACTTCTTTCATCTTGTTTTTCTGCTTCTTTGACTTCAGTTGTAGTAAAAAAGAAAGAATGGTGGCCATTTTGTTAGATGATATGTTTCAATACGGCTGATTGGTGGTCATTTTGTTTGCTGCTCTGATTCAATACGGCTGACTGGTGGCCATTTTGTTTGCTGCTCTGATTCAATACGGCTGACTGGTGGGCATTGTGTTTTGGTGATCTGATTCAATATAGTAGTCTGAAATAGGGATGCATTCTGGATCTATATCCCTAGGATCAGTTCTTTTGACATACTTACTACCTTATCTGATACATATATATGTGTGATGATTTTGCAATTTAGTCAAAGATGACAGACTGTCAGCCATTTTTTTTGGTGATATGGGTCAATGTAGCTGACTGCTAACCATTTTGTTTGGTGATAAGTTTCAATACGACTGACTGGTGGCCATTTTGTTTGGTACTCTGATTCAATACAGCTGACTGGTGGCCATTGTGTTTGGTGCTCTGATTCAATACAGCTGACTGGTGGCCATTGTGTTTGGTGCTCTGATTCAATACAGCTGACTGGTGGCCATTTTGTTTGGTGCTCTATTTCAATACAGCTGACTGGTGGCCATTTTGTTTGGTGCTCTATTTCAATACAGCTGACTGGTGGCCATTTTGTTTGGTAATAAGTTTCAATACAGCTGACTGGTGGCCATTATGTTTAGTGCTCTGATTCAATACGGCTGACTGGTGACCATTTTGTTTGGTGCTCTGATTTAATATGGCTGACTGGTGGCCATTTTGTTTGCTGCTCTGATTCAATAGGGCTTGCTGGTGGCCATTGTGTTTGGTGCTCTGATTCAATACGGCTGGCTGGTGGCCATTGTGTTTGCTGCTCTGATTCAATAGGGCTTGCTGGTGGCCATTGTGTTTGGTGCTCTGATTCAATACGGCTGGCTGGTGGCCATTTTGTTTGGTGCTCTGATTCAATATGGCTGACTGGTGGCCATTTTGTTTGCTGCTCTGATTCAATAGGGCTTGCTGGTGGCCATTGTGTTTGGTGCTCTGATTCAATACGGCTGGCTGGTGGCCATTGTGTTTGCTGCTCTGATTCAATACGGCTGGCTGGTGGCCATTTTGTTTGCTGCTCTGATTCAATAGGGCTGGCTGGTGGCCATTGTGTTTGATGATCTGATTCAATACGGCTGACTGGTGGCCATTGTGTTTGGTGATCTGATTCAATACGGCTGACTGGTGGCCATTATGTTTGGTGCTCTAATTCAATACGGCTGACTGGTGGCCATTGTGTTTGGTGCTCTAATTCAATATGGCTGGCTGGTGGCCATTGTGTTTGATGATCTGATTCAATACGGCTGACTGGTGGCCATTGTGTTTGGTGATCTGATTCAATACGGCTGGCTGGTGGCCATTATGTTTGGTGCTCTGATTCAATACGGCTGACTGGTGGCCATTATGTTTGGTGCTCTGATTTAATACGGCTGACTGGTGGCCATTTTGTTTGGTGCTCTGATTCAATACGGCTGACTGGTGGTCATTGTGTTTGGTGATCTGATTCAATACGGCTGACTGGTGGCCATTGTGTTTGGTGATCTGATTCAATACGGCTGACTGGTGGCCATTATGTTTGGTGCTCTGATTCAATAGGGCTGGCTGGTGGCCATTGTGTTTGGTGCTCTGATTCAATACGGCTGGCTGGTGGCCATTGTGTTTGATGATCTGATTCAATACGGCTGACTGGTGGTCATTGTGTTTGGTGATCTGATTCAATACGGCTGACTGGTGGCCATTTTGTTTGGTGCTCTGATTCAATACGGCTGACTGGTGGTCATTGTGTTTGGTGCTCTGATTCAATACGGCTGACTGGTGGCCATTTTGTTTGGTGCTCTGATTCAATACGGCTGACTGGTGGCCATTTTGTTTGATGCTCTGATTCAATACGGCTGACTGGTGGTCATTGTGTTTGGTGATCTGATTCAATACGGCTGACTGGTGGTCATTTTGCTTGGTGCTCTGATTCAATACGTCTGACTGGTGGCCATTGTGTTTGGTGATCTGATTCAATACGACTGACTGGTGGCCATTGTGTTTGGTGCTCTGATTCAGTATGGCTGACTGGTGGCCATTTTGTTTGGTGATCTGATTCAAATATCACCAAGGTGATTTTAATATAGCCAACAGTGTTCTCCTAGCATTAGTACATCAGAGTGCATCAAAAATAGTTTTCTGTACCGAATGTTCCTAATTGTTAATTAAAGTGTTGTTTGGCATTTGAGTGACAGGTCTATTTTAAAAATGATAAGAAGCTTATATGAGATCTAATCAAAGACTGTGTTTACTTTTCTTTCTTTACCATATTTGAGTCAGCTCAACATACATGTATTTCATATTGTGGTGTTTTAGCGGACTACTTTATTTCATTTCAGTGCCTTTGTTGTAGTTCAAAATGGTGGAACAAACAACAATTGTAAAAGCTCGCTGTTTTTTTTATGTTTTTGTGTGTTTCTAAGTCATATAAATCATATTTAATCAATTCTGATGGATTTGATACATCGCTTGTAAGACATTCTGTGCTTGTCTAAAAAACATGTAGTTTGTGAGGTATTCTTTGATTGGTTGATGAGGCAAGTTTTCGTTGTACTACAATGAAAAAATTAACAAGGTCTTAAATATTTTCTGTCAAACAAGAGTACAAAATAATTTTATTCTTTTTTTTCTAGGTTCGAACAGCTGTCAGCATCCAACAGTCACCAGAAGTTAATGCCAAATCGGGAGAAATACCAGTCACACAACCCAGTGGTGTTCTCGTAACTCAACCTATGCAAGTAAAATATATACGTCAGACATTACCCCAACCAACGACTTCGATACATGGACAACAAGTTGTTGTAAGGACACCGGTTACTGCATACAATACTATGCAATTAGGTCCAATGAACACTCTAACCAGGGCACCTACTACGATTGTCCAACAGAGACCGATTATACAGCATACAAATTACCCAGTTTTACGACCTCAAGGCGGGTTCCCACAGGGAGTAGCTACACAAATTGTACCAGCCACACAGGGAATGCCAACACAACTTGTAATGCCTCATGCAAGCACAGTACAGTCGGCAGCGGCAGCGGCGGCACCAGTGCAACTTAGAAACATTGTCAGTTACTCACAATCCCGACCTGTTTGATACCTGCGACTAACAGTGAAATAACTGATATACTACTCAACTACTGTGGAATACTTTATTTTCGCTGAAAAAGCTTTTTGGGCATTTTGTATGGAATTTATTTTCACTGATTTTTGATAAGTTTAATGTGAAATATAAGAAAGAAAGTATATTCGCTGGATTTTATTTTCACGGAATCATCCCTTCAGCGAAAATAGCGAAAATAAATTCCAAGTGAAAATAAAGTATTCTACAGTATTTAGTTTTTAAGCCAACCCCAGATTTGTCAAGTGGTTTAACCCTTCCAAACCCAAGGCTTATTTCATTATGTAGTGGTAGGTAAATAAATTTGAATCAATTCAGAGAAAGTTATGTTTCTTTACTTACTTGAATTGCTAAAAAATGGTACAAACTAATAAAGTGTTGTAATGACAAAGTGAGGATCAATGTGACGCCCTCTACCACCCTACCTTTGTTGTGAATGGTTGAAATCACTGCCTTTAATTCACCATTATTATCCCTTTATGTTGAATTGGATGGTGGGTCCCATGCGATAAATACAACGTTCTTTGAATGTTAATAGCCCAATGACTTTGATATAGTATTGTACAATAAAGTTGTGTAGTGAACTTTTATTTCGTGAATAGTGAAAATGCCACACTTTGATTGTTTACAGGATCACCCTGACTTCTGTGAATTTTTTTTCCTTCAATTCAATCTGGACACCACCAATAATCTGGTGATTTCAACACCACCAATAACTTGCTATAACCTATAATCTGGTACCACTAACAATCTGATGCCTCCAGTTACCACTAATAACCTAGGGCATGCCGATTCCAATAATAGCCAATAAGCTAGTAAACAATTCTCCAGATGTTCAATATCATTAAATATAAATGATAGAATTGATATCTGTAGCTACTGGCCAATATGGCTTGATTTTTTATATCAGTAGATATTGGTTAAATATCTTGATTTTTTATATCGGCCCAGATGGCTGGATCAGAAGATATTGGTTAATAATGTCAGGATTTTTGATATTGATTGATATCAACCAATAAGGCCGGATTAAGTTGACAAAGTTGCAACTTGTATTCAGATTTTGTATTGTGCTTGTAAATGTCATGTTGATGACAATAATACGTGCTTGGCATGCATGGCCATATTAGAGTGGGTTGGTATTTTGGAGACAGCGTTGATGCATTAGTGGTGTATAAAAATCACATCAAACTAATTTGTGCATTTGTATACCTCCAATGCAGTCATCATTTCCTACAAAACATGATGAAATAATACAATTTTTAGATAAAAACTAATTGGGTGATGATTGGGTTAATCAATAAGAGACTTACTAATATTTCCACTTGTATTACTGATAATATTTATCAATTTTAAAAGTATTTCAAGAGTACCATGATACTCCTTCATTAGACCATAAATTTTATTTTTAGGAGGCTGACAAAATTAAATTAATATTTTTTGAGTGGCATTTTTAGTCTATTTTGTCTCAAAAAAGATTCTGGAGCCATTCTGGCCTGTTCCAATCACTTGCTGTTCTATTACCTGTAAAGTAGAAGGAATAAAGTCGACAATGGCCAATTAAAACACAATATTCAATCCATGGAAACAGAATGCCCCAAATGTGTAACTAGTTTTATTTTACATCAACTGAGATCAAATAAACTAAATCAGTGTTGATAATAAAACTACCTACTCATCTTTTGTAGAAAAAATGAAAAGTTCATTTTATGCAAATGAGTTCATAATTATTTATTTCTATTCAAGTTAGCTGTGATCATTCTAAAAATGATGTAATTTTGTTTTTTTTATTTACTTCCTTCTATGAAGTGAAAGACTAGAATTTAGTTGTACAAAGAAAATCAATTCTGAAAACTAACTTAGATGTAATTTTTCACATCTGTCATTAAACCTGAAAGTGCAACTCATTGGAAAAAATAAAATAATACCTCCCCGGTATTTTGTTACCATAATGGTATTACCGGTATTTGAGTTTTGGGCATGAAGAAATATGTGCTTAGGTGATATTCTTTTCAGTGTGAGATCTGACGTGAAAGGCATTGAGTGAATATCTGCTGGAAAAATCAAATGATTTAAATTCAGCTTGATTTATTTCCGGTACGATGGGGGGGGGGGGCGTGGACGTTCAATGTGGATAGCACATTATTAAGTGTGAAATACTTTTTAGTGAGCTGAAGTTTGTTTGTCCTGTTTTTATGTTTGATTTCACAAAAGCACAGGATCTTACAGTGAACGGGAATTGGGCGACGTCTACATGTGAAAAATTTACTGAAATAAATACAGCTAAGGTTTATTATAGTTCTGTTTTCTATCTACACTTTGATCAAAATTGTTCAGAGTTTTGAAATTGGAAAACAATTTCCAGAATCGGGGTTATTTGAAAATAGTCATCAGCCTTTGCTAATGCTATAAAATTGTGTACATTTAATATTTTCTAGTCTTTTGTATATTCAGGTATGTTTTGTGGTTTACAAACTTTATCACAGTGCTTTGGGTTATATAACCTGATCAGCTGTAATTGTTGAAATCCATGATTAAATGTACTATTTTTTGTGATGCAATTCATTTTATAGTTTACTGTAAATCATCGTAGTACCGGTAATTTATTTAGTTGCAATTTTCATACCATATCTACATGATTAGAACCTATGGAAGTTTCAGTCAATATACATCACTCCACTACCGCCTACAATCTGTGTGGTGTTTCAATCACTACACACCACTCCTCTAGAATCTGCTATATGCCACTCCAATAATACCTACAATCTGTCTAGTGTTGCACATGCTATACGCTACTCTACTAATGCCTAGAATTATTGGCCAGTTTGATATTCCTAGTTGTATTTATGTAACAATGTATATATTAATCCAACCTTGAATGGGACGGATCATGTCTGACGCTACATGCCATTTCTTTAAGGTCTATTTGGTTGTCGGGGGCGATTGTTTTTTGGAGATTTAGCTATGCTAATGAGTGCTGTTAATAACTTGCATAGCATATGTTTACAGAACCCCTTGTAGTTTATTTACAAGCTGATAACTCTAATCCCCAGAAACATCAGTAGCATCATCGGCTTCTTAGCACGAGCTAAGAGGTCAAATTCATTAGCCCATGCTAAGAAAACGTGCATGAACGCTTAGCACGGGCTAAGGAAGGGTAAAATCTGATCCGATGTTAAGACCCGGCCAATGTGTTCAGCAGTCTTGACAGGTTAGATTTCATAAAGGATGGACATTCTTGTACATGGTTAATACAGAATGTGTTCTGAAGATTCAATTGACATTGACAATTGTTTTGAATTGTGTTTGTTTCGCAATAGCTTTCGTTGGAAATGCAGATTTGAGGCTGCATCACATCGTGACATAAGTTTTCTATTGTGGCTACATGGCTAAAATGTGACACATCAAAAAACTCAAGTTGGGTTTATCGCCTGTTATGTTAAATTCATGTCTGATTGCATAATCCCTTATCATGCTAGTGAGACCTCAAATCCAGTCAAGTTGTCTATCTGCCAAGAATCTAAGTGGTTGTTGAGTGTCTAGTAACAATATGCAGCAAGAGAAGACCATGCGCATACACCATGACACAAAACTGGAACAGGAAACATGACCTGTAATCTTAATAAATATAAACCCAGTACTTAGCAGGTGTTCGTGTCCATGATAGCCAAAAACGCAAAAATAAATCAAATAAAAATATAGCTGCATAGCAGCGATGACGGGTTTCGAGCCTGCATGGCTCATGGCAAATTGCACTTGCTTGATGTGATTATTTGACGAACGTTTCATGTCTAGAATGCAAGATGGCAGACAAACTACAAAATATATGGATTTGATTTCACAGGAATATGATAAACTTAATGCAAGGATTCCACATACCGAATTTTGTATCAGTCTGGCAAATAGTTCATGAGTTATAGAACTTTTTCTCTTTTACTAAATCCAAGATGGCTGCCAATGGAAGCCATTTTTCAATAATCTGCTTTAGTAACTTTGTAGAGCTATCAACATAGGTGCCATATTCTAAATTGCTAGTCAAACAAGCGGGACGGTTTTTAAGAAGATAATTTTTTGAGGTTTTTTTGATAAATTCAATATGGCCGCCAAAACCACTTGAATCATGGGAAATATTTTCATGAACTCATAATCATCTTATTGAAGGGATGTTGTATGCCAAGTTTGGTTTAAATCTGGTAAATTGTTCATAAGTTATAGCGTAATATCACTTTTTACTAAATCCAAGATGGCTGCCAAATGAAGCCATTTTTCAAAAATCTGCTTCAGTTACTTTGTAGAGCTATCAACAGGGATACTATATGCTAAATTGCTTTTCAAACAAGCAAGCAGTTTTTAAGAAAATAATTTTTTGAGGTTTTTTGCATTTTTGTGATAAATTCAACATGGCCGCCAAAACCACTTGAATCATAGGAAATATTTTCATGAACACATAATCATCTTATTGAGCGGATGTTGTATGCCAAGTGTGGTTTAAATCTGGTAAATTGTTCATAAGTTATAGTGCAATTTCACTTTTTACTAAATCAAAGATGGCTGCCAAAGGAAGCCATTTTTCAAAAATCTGCTTCAGTAACCTTGTAGAGCTATCAACAGAGACACTATATGCTAAATTGACTGTCAAACAAGCAAGCAGTTTTTAAGAAGATAATTTTTTGATGTTTTTGGCATTTTTTTGATAAATTCAAGATGGCCGCCAAAACCACTTGAATCATGGGAAATATTTTTATGAACACAATCATCTTATCGAAGGGATGTTGCATGCCAAGTTTTGTTTAAATCTAGCAAATTGTTCATGAGTTATAGCATACTTTCACTTTTTACTAAATCCAAAATGGCTGCCAAAGGAAGCCATTTTTCAAAAATCTAATCACATGGATGAGCCATTTTTAAGATTTTTAAAGTTTTTTGTAAATTTTCAGAAAATCCAATATGACCGCTAAAGATTTTATTGCTGATATTTGCTAGACATGAGCCAATGATGCTACCCAAAGTTCCTAGACCCTCAGAAAGTGGTGCAATTGAGCACTTCCGGTTTGTGTTCTACCTAAGATGGCGGCCAGGTCATGTGATCTATATGGCTGGTTTTGGGGTATGCACCACAACTCATGGCCCTTTATCAGCATGCAAAATGGCAAATCAATCGCAGCATTATTTTTCAAGTTACAGAACTTACAAAAAACTGCGGAAAAATAATAATCAAAGCAACTACAATAGGGTTTCGCCCCATAGGGCTCGAAACCCTAAATAACGTAAACACTTATGCATATATTTAATACTGCTTATGTTTGTATAAATTTGAATCGAAGCGTAGCTTGTTGTATTGTTTGTAAAATGTCGCCTAGATTATAGGCTAGTAAAATATATTCCTCTGACTAGAAATATAAGAAATATTTAATAGAATTGAGTATTATACTCAAATATATATAATTCAATTCTAGAGAACCAACATGAAAATAAAATTCAGAAATCATAGTTCAATGAAAATGATACATGGGTGACAGATATAGTAATATGGCCACAAATAAAAACGGCCGTTATTCGGCTATCTATGATCTGATTTTGAAACAAAGTGACATGTATGTGCCAAATACGAATGAAAATGGTACATAAATCTTGGAAATATAGTAGTAAGGCCAAAATGTCAGATGGCTGTCAATCTGCCATCCTTGATCCGATTTTGAAACAAATTGTCATGTATCCTACCATGTATAAAGTATGTGCCAAATTTGAATGAAAACTGACAAAGCATGTCCAAGATACCACATTTAAAAACAAAAAAACAAGATCCCTTCCAGTCGGCCATCTTTGATCCAATTGCGAAAGAAATTGTCATGGACATGTATCCTAACATGTATAATCTATGTACCAAGTTTGAATGAAAACTGACAAAGCATGTCCAAAATACAACATTTTCAAAAAACAAGATGGATGCCAGTCGGCCATTTTGAATCGAATCGCTAAACCACTGCATGTGCATATGTCCCACATAAAGTTCTAGACACATGCAAAGAATGAACGGAATTAGTCCAAAGGATTCTGAAATATGACCACGGACGGAGACCGAATTACAAGTCCCAGTTTTCGGACTTCGTGGCACAAGATAAAACAAGTTATGTGAAAATAGCGCATTTATACATAATAACTTGACTTCAAGCGATAAAAAAAGTGAATATTTATTTATCTCAATATTTATTGGATACCAGCAGACTAAAATTCTCAGATTCAAGCAAGATTTATGTCTTGCAAATAAACCCTACTTATTCTAAATAGGATATAAAATGTACAATGGTATTTTGTAAGAATGACAAATTTGTATATTATGGGAAATAAATTCCCATTGAATGTAATGCAAAAATATCTTTTTGGAAAATATATGCAACTTTTTGAAAAATTGTCGACAGCATTTTTATGCCAACAAAAATTCTAAATTTAGAAATACTGATACATTCACCATGGAAACCAATGCAATGCTATGTTAATATTCTTATGTTTAGTCACTTTCTCAATTTGTGTTTATATGGAATTGATCCATATTATTAAATATATAGGAAAATGGATTTAAATTAGATCCAAACCTCCTTATCACTGAACGGAAAAAATATCACAATAAAAACATCCTTGAGTGATAATGCTATTGGAAACAGTTTGTCGGTTACTAGAGTTAATATCTTCACGATGTAAGTCAAGCACTGGAACACAGCTTGTGTATTTTGGATGAAAACTGAGCCCATAATTATTCATGATGGGCAAGATTATGCAAATGATTTACACCAAATATGGCAAACCATGCTGATCCAAATATGGTATACAGATCCAAATATAGTGACTGTATTCATGCAGTCTTACAGACATGTTTCATATTCCGACGATAGATTTACCACATGGACATCTGTTTTACCATTTCCATTTCGAGTTACCATCGTTTTACATCCATTTGGCATTAATTCTTCATGTTCATGAGGTGATTTCTCTTGCTGAAGAAAGAAAACATACAAATTCTATATCTGTAAAAGTTTCTCATAGGAATTGTTTGATTTTCATTGAATAAATGATGATACTATTGGCTAACTATGAGTCACAATATTATGAGGTTCAAATGTGGACAGGTGTCACACACATGTAGTCGAACACCCTCGTTAGTAGCTCTAGATTTATTGTATTTATTATTATTATACATCTGTTATCGTAACGTAAAGTTACAGCGTGCCATAATTTTGCGGTATTTTGCAGGGGATTTTCATCCTACCATATTGGAAAATGCAAATTCCAACTATGGAATGATTACGCGCGTAAGTGTCCTCTAATAATAAAAACAAACATGGCTGCCACCAGGGTTTTGACCTGACTCCACACAAAGAAGTTCGCTGATTCTGTTCTAAACTTTTTGGATTTCTGAATTCCCATGATGTATCCTATCAGGCATACTTTGAGGTATCCTCATAATAACTTCATATTATTTAACTAAATAAAAACGAAAATGTGCTGCCATACAGTTACACATTTTAAATAGATAATTCTATTTACAAGATATTGTAATGGCTCAAGCAAATATTTCAAATTTATCACATTGCTGTCGACTGTGTAGTGCATGTCTGTTTGTTCTCCAAAATTAAAGCGGGGGAGTCTTCACCTCCGCATGCGTCAGATGGCCATAGCGTATCATTGTTTACAAACAAGCGTCTACCCATAAGCCTTTGCATATTTAGCGTGTGTTGTTATCATCATTTAGGACTCAATTTCTGCACGTAGACAGGTGATGACCCTCTCGCTTTAATGCTTTGTATGTAAACAACTTAACTAACTAAGGTTTCATAAATTAGTATTTCCAGTAACACATCATGTTGTCTTGTTTGTGTCTGACTTAAAATTGTGATTATTTTTTGGGTAAAATCACATGAGGATTGTATGAATCATACCAAGGCACACACTGGGGAGGGGCTGGACATTGTAAATTTGCAGCTTAAAAATATGTACAAAATGATAAATTGTAAATATTTATATACACATTTCTTTTTTGATGTGTACCCCACATTTTGTGCATCTTTCAAAACATTTCCAACTTGTTGACTGTACAGGCAAACCTAAACTCTGAAAGTAGTCCAAACCAAACCATGTCAGGCACATGTACTGATATGAAATTTATGAAAAGCATATCACAGAGTGAAGTCACACCTCGGTGAGAACGTCTAAGTGTATGATAAATGGGTTTGTACAATTGTCAATTAGTGGTGTAATACCTATAACTCACCTCTTGGTACTGTTCTTTTTTTAAACCGCAATTAAGTATATTTTTCCAGCTTGCAGGAAGACAACAACAACACTTTTCAACACAAGGACTGATTAGATTTGCATCCAATTCCGCTGGATTTTGTGCACCTAAGGAACAAAAACATTATGCATTGACTATTTTAAGAAGGTTTGAACTGGAATAAAAAATATATATCATTTTGGTCTCGTTCTCATTATTATAAAATGTGTGTTTTTTTCAATGGAAAATGACATTTTGCACTGACGTCTATACAAAAATTACTTTTAAGCTCCATTGTCGACTTTGTTGAGCGAAGCTTATCATATGAGTGTTTGTCCGTCAGTGTCCATGTCAACTTTTTAGCTCCGCTGTTGACTTTGCCGAGCGGAGCTTATCATATGAGTGATTGTCTGTCTGTCGTTGTCGTCCGTGTCAATGTTTTACTTTTTCGACTTCTTCTTGAAAATTACAAGCTTGAATGCTTTGATACTTGGTGTATATGGGTAGACCTCTCTTAGATTTGTTCATTTCATGATGATATCTTCAATTCTCTAATTTTTATGAATATTTTTGTCTTTTTTGATAAAAAGTGATATTTTCAAATCCTTGTTAAAAACCGCAAGTCTGATTGTATATACACCAAGTAACGACAACAGACACCGGGTGACAACGCTGGACAGCAGAGCTAAAAATACATCTCATATCACACATCAATCATTCGATATCTTAACATTGTCTGTCCAATTCTATAAAAGTGAACTATTTTTTACTTACCAGTAATAAAGCTGACAACAAGTCCAACGATGACGACAATGAGCCAGGATAGTACACCGTAGTATATATAGGACAAGGAATATAAATCTGCAATAGGGGGACTGACAATAAAAAACATTTTATTAATATAATTTGAATAAAAGAGAAATATGATTGTCAAAATTAAGTTTCTGCAGGAAATGTTTTAAATATAAAGAATGCAAACAAATTCTTACTACGAGTCTTGAGTTGTTGTTGTTGTCACGGATTCGTTAAAATAACTAGACACCCAATCGGTTGTGTTGGTATCCGTGGTAACTGTAGTGAGGTTCAAACATCCGGCTGTAGAGAATGGTAGTCTAGGTCTTCCAGGTGGATACATGAATGCACCAATCCCAACCCAGAATGAGATAATTAAACCTGTTAATAGCCCAACAATAGCACCCTGGATTGAAGATAATAATAACAATTATTATACATCTGTCACCGTAACGCCATAATTTTGCTGTATTTTACAGGGTATTTTCATCCTACCATATTAGGAAATGATTATGCATGCAAGCGTCCTCTAATAATAAAAACAAACATGGCTGCCACCAGGGTTTGACCGTACTCCACACAAAGAAGTTCACTGATTCTGTTCTAAACTTTTTGGATTTTAACATTCCCATGATGTATCCTTGGAAGACTACTCTGATCGCATCGACCTCCGCTGTGCATCAAACAATACTCTCGCTGTACTGTCTTTGTGAATACTTTGTAATAACCTCATATTACTGTAAATGTTCACTGGTAGCATAATGGTTGCTATATCAGACTCCAGCATCCAACGAAAAAATGGAGAGTGTTTTTAAAAAAGTAGTAGTTACTAATAAAATAGCATCAAATAAAATTGTTCACTGCCAATAACAACAGACTTCAATATTGAAATCAAACAACAAGTCATTGTCGTCATATGTCAAATTGTGTTCGATCAAGTCGTTCCATCCACTACGGGTGCTTCTAGAATTCTGACTGATGCCATTGTTATGGTGGCCGTCCAACTGGATGACCTGAACCAGTTGATGAA